GGGGGGGTAGTGGTCTAAGAACCGGGGGGAGGGAGCTTACTGAGGCGCCAACAGTGAGGCTGGCATTGGGATTGAGTTTATGGGTCACAGCTGCGGCGAGTATTCCTTCCTGGTTGATTTTGACTTTGAGAGAGGTGAGTTTGGTCTTGGTGTCTAGTAGCCAGCCGCCTCCGAGACAGAGTTCGGTTTTGTCAGTGGCGGGTGTGTATGTGTAACGGGCAGCCATCTCGGAATGGTTCGTTTGTTGCGATGCGACGGCGACGGAGAGTTTGCCAAGAGCGTGGTCGCGGAAGGGTGCGGCGGCGAGGCAGCCTGTTACGGTGTGTCCTTTGGTGGGGAATGCGTAGGCGAGTGCAGCGCCGGAGAAGACAGGTGGAGCTGTAGCGGATCCGCTCACATCGACGCCTGCTGCAACCGATGAGTTGCCGAGAGGGTAGCGTGCGACGCACGCCACCGCCCACTTGCGAGCAACTGGTTCCACACTCGCGTGCACTTGCCACGGGTCGCCACGGTACTTCAGATGCACATCCACTTTTTGCTCGCGACCTCCCGCGTGCGGCATTCCCAACAACGCCGCCGTACCTGCCTGTGCACTCGTTACACTAGACTGAACACTCAATCCCACTTCTGTGTTGTACGTCATCTGCAATCCACCACTACCATCAATCCCCATGAATCCAGTCACGTTCACACGACCCAAGTCCACTCCCGTCGAAGAAGCACAACTCAAACGACCATCCTCAGCCATATTGGCCACGTGCTTCAACATCTACACAAACAACCCGTCGGAACACACGAGATGACCATGAAGAGTGAGTGACTCACGGAGTGAGTGACTCACGCGTGAGTGAGTGAGTGACTCACGCGTGAGCCACAGTTTCCTGTGACGCCCGCTGCCTGCACGCACGAGTGTCAACCTACCGGGTTTTCCAGCTTGTGGCGCAGGTCCACCGCCCAGGGCTTGTCGTGGACGTACTGCTTATCCAGAATCTCGTCAATTGGCTTCGACAGCTCCTTAAAACTAACCATTTTCCGTAGACTTGAGGGAGTTGTAACCAGAACACTAAGTGCCAACGCGCCCCTGTATCCAAGGTGCGAATTTTAAAAAAATGTATCGCGCACTCAGCAGGCAAACCGCTGCGCGCGTGGTCAAGTTCGGGATCTTCATGCGCACCAACGCCTGGCTGGCGCCGATCCTGATGACGTACAAGTACCTAGTATGACCACACGTGTGTCCGAACACGAGCTTTCGAACACGAACGTTCGAACGGGAGCCTGATCGGACCCGCGCCGCAATCTCCGTGCCGCAATCTCTGTTCTCCTTAGAGGTGCCTACAAGACAAGGAAACCGGTGCTCGATCGAAAACTATTTTTATTTCATGACAGCCACGCCTGCAACCCTCACTAAGTTGCCTGGCAACAACCTGTGCGCGGACTGTCATGCACCCAACCCAAGATGGGCGTCGATCAACCTAGGTACTGAACACTTCACCGCCTAGCACTCCACTCCTCGAGACGTACTAATGTTACTGCTCCTAGGCATACTCATTTGTATAGAGTGCAGTGGGATCCATCGGGCGCTAGGCACACATATATCCCAGGTCCGTTCGATCGCACTTGATCAGTGGACCGTGAGCCAGGTGGAGACGTGTCAGCGCATCGGGAATCAACAAGCCAACTCGTTCTGGGAGGCTCAGTTACCCGCAACGTTTAAACGACCGTCAAATCAAAACCGGAGAGACATGGAGCAGTTCATCAAAGCCAAATACGTAGACCGGAAGTGGACTCCCGAGCGCGCCGGCCCTGCAGACTCACGGACTACCACGGGCGTGAGTGGCAGCGCTGTCACCCTCAGTGGTCACCAACCCAACGCTGCGCGCCAAAATTCGCCAGTGCACCAATGTGCGACTCACAGTGCGCACCAAAGTTCGTCCTTGTGGGCCGGAGCGTCGAGTGCGGGTTCGCGGGGGCCGTCGCGCTCGAGTCCGAGCGGGCAGACGGAAGACCTGTTCACCGCGACCCAGAACCCGTTCCAAAACCCGTGCTCGGTCCATCGCCCGAACTGGTCGGCGCGGCAGGGCATGGCGGAGCAACTGGCTGAGGTCCTGGACTCTCAACCAGCCGCAGCCGCAGGTGTTACCGGTAGTTATGACGCAGCAATGGGCATTGCTGCGGGCAAGAGCGCGGCGGCCGGTAAAGACAATGGAGCAATGATGGAAGACTTGTGGGCAGCCGGCAGCTCGAATCCTCCTCCGGCTGTTGGCGCTAGTCTGGACGTGGTCCAGACGGGGTTGGATTATATACAAAAAGGAGTTTCACAGCCCCCTCCAAATCTGGACATTTTAACGCAGGCCCTAAACGAAAGAATTTAGTGTGGCTGTGCTACCGCGTGATCGTGCCTCGGCGCAGCCTTCCCCGGCACGACCTTGCGCTAACACGGCCCCGGTGCACAACGCGATCACATTTCCGCGTCAACGCAGCCTGCCCCGACGCAGCGCCACCGACGCAGCAAGTCCGACACGTGGCAGTGTCCAAGGGCTTTCTGTCCGGGCGTGTGTGCACCGCTCGGGTTCGACTCCCAGTGGGTGCGTTTTGTGGTTAGAGGGTAACGAGCTGTATTTTGCCGTCGGCCGTGACTGCTTTGGCGAGGTAGGCGGGTTTGTGGACGAGGAATCGCGTGTTGAGTTCGTGAATGCACTTGCGGACGAGGTCGGTCGCCTGTTCGAGGGTCATGTCCGGTTGGTATTCGCGGTCGAGTAGGCCGTATATGAAGTGGCTGCCATAACCGTGTGCGGCCCGATCGCTGGCCACGAGCGTGCCGAGGTAGTCGAGCAGGTACAGCTCCGGCTCTCTCGAGACGGGGTTGATGCCGCCTACGAGGGCGTCGACTTGGTACGGTGCCTTGCGCAACGCCAGCGCCAACTCCGTTCGAGCGTAGTTCGCCGTCGCCTTCGGACTCAGCGAACGCCCCTGCGACATGAGACGACGCAAATGCACATTCTTCTGGATGTAGTCCATAAAGTTCTGCCGGTCAGCGTCTGGACCCGCGCAAGCCATCAACTTGTTCCCATCCAACTCGCACACCTTATCTTGCGTGTCCTACCAAACTGTGAGTACTACCGACTGCACTGCCGACCGCAACACGGTAGCTAACTGCCCACTCGGATTAATGGTGGATTCGGTGTCGTGTGTGTGTGCCGTGCGCTCGGAGTACGTGTGCGCGGCATTCGTGTGCGCGGGATTCGTGTGCGCGGGAGTCGTGTGCGTGCAGGCTTGACGTGTGCGCGTACGACTAAACGAATGATGGAGTAGGCACTGCTTTTATCGGCTGCACACAGAACGAAGTCCTTTCCCTTGATGCCGATGACTGTGTCCATGAGTTAATTAATAAATTATCCCCAACTCTTTTCTGTCGGGTCAGGTAGGACGTTGTTGGGATCAAGACGACGTGTTCAACCGCAAGCGACGCGTCGGCCGGGAGAAAGTTTCCTGTGGTATCCGGGTGAAAGTCGTGGCCCCGGCAGGACGCAGTGTGTCTACGTGTCTGTCTATTTGTAGCTTCTCTGTGTCCCAAAAGGTTTGTGCATGCTGTTCGCGCTCCTCAATTCTGCCCAACGGCGCAAAAGGCCTCAGCCCACCCTCCATCGCGTCATAGAATTATCACCGCCATTGCACAGCGTCCTACACGACCGATGTAGGCTCTGGCTATCCAGAGTCCCTCGCGGGGTGGTTACTAAACCGGCCCATGCAGCTGATACAGCAGTTTGTAGTGGGCATGCTAGCTAATGTTGGTCGAGATAGGAGTGCTTGGAGAGACCACGGTTTCCGTCTCGGGTTTGTTGACTTGGAGTGAGTTGTTATGAATCACCCTTGCTGATTGTGAGGCGGATGTTGTCGTGCTCGAGTGCTCTTCTATCTACTGCATGCCTGGTGCCCGGTGTCTCGTTGGACTACTCCCGTGCCATCCTACTCCTCGTTCGTCGACCCAGGCCCTTGCCCCGTAAGATTCTTACTTGCTCGTGCTGCGAGGCTTCTTCATGCCGCAGGTGGTACTTCGCCTCTACTCTTGATCTGCGACTCTACAGCACGGCCTCTCGATCTCGTTACACAGAACCGTGATGTCTTGGACGTCCTCAACCGTTACTACGCCCAACCGTCTAGTTCGTGCATACCCGGGCCAAGTGTCTGGGCTGCCCACACTGGTAGAGCCTGTATTTCGATCTTGAGATCCAATGGCTTGGCCCGACCCATTCGCCGCACTGTTCGCATTGGGTCAAACGTACTATGGGGTCCATCAGCTGGCGGTGCGTGCCGTAACGGTTCTTCCACCGCCCTAGCAGTCGGCCCCTTAACTGGTGCCCTACTTCGCTTTACTGGATGAAGACCAATCTTCACCCATTGTAGGCCTTCTTCAGTCGGCCCTTCAGGATGCGGCCAACTGCCAGCACCTGCCATCCTCTTCTGCAGTGCGTCGGTGCCATCCTCCAGAGCAGCTGTCGCCAAGTAATTTGTCAACGCGCTAAAGTCCATTGCTGCTCTACTGCTGCCTTTACTTGCTTCTTGCCTTTACTGACGTCGGTAGAGCAAGAACACAGCGACCAATATAAATAAGAGAAAGAAAGGGTTTAAGACGATGTCAGTGATTTAAGGGTATGACGCCCAGGGTCGGAGAGTAAAGAGAGGGAGGGGTCCGGAGAATAGGCAGTGTGAGCCAGTCGGAAGGCCAGATGTGCTCTTGCTAGTAGGTAGTAGTAGTAGTTTCTGTCGAAGGTCGCTGTCGCTGAAGGCGGAGTGAGAGCTCGTAGAGACATTCTTCTTCGAGGGCAGCTTCGGAATGGGCTTCGAGGGCCCGTAGGTTGCTTCCAAGTACTGAGGCGCGATGAGCCACCTCGATGTCGTTGGGCCTCGTCTCAAAAAACGACCATCTGTCACGTGCGAATGCTTTCCATCATTGCTCGTCTGGGGTGGTCCACCACGAGCTGTCAACAGGGTTGGCAGCCATCGTGTGCGTCACCGAGTAGTTTGCCGGGTTGAAATTCCTGTTAACGGGTGGGTGGTGGTCATGCCAATCAACCCGATGGCGGGTACGTTCAGTGTTCGCGCAATCCGGTAGCGGAGCTGGCGTTCAGTCTCGTTGGGCGAGAAGCAGCTAACGGAGCCGCCGGTCTCACTGGGGGGTCGCCGTTTGGCTGTACGCAGAAGAAGGTAAGAACCGGGTACCCACGGGCTGACTGTTGCGCCGGTTTTGGTTATTCTGACTCTTCTTCTCTGGTACTGGACGTAACCCCAGGAAGGGCAGATAATTAAGGTGCCGCCCAGGGACCGGGTCGCCCAGGTTTGCATGGTTGGCATCGGGGCTAGTTAGGATGGGGCTGGGATCCCTGCTCGCGGGGCACCACGACCACCGCGGAACACGCTTGCTCGCCCGGCACACTCAAATCAATTACCCACGGCTCACAGTCGCTCATGCCCGGACGGCTGCCGTCCGGGTTGACAACAATTTCAGGTTTACCTCACTCGATCCTATGCACGAGATTGTCCTCATCCAAAAAAAACCTCAGTTGGTTAAAAGGGTGAGACCAAACGCATTCTGACTCCGTCCAAAATTTCGTTCGAAGATGAGTCGTCCAGGGACATAACGACCTCAAAAGTAATTGCTATACATGCCCCCGACACAACTCGTTCCCGCGACTGATAATGTAAGGACAACTGCCAGACATCGTAGCTGTCGACAGCGATGCCGAACACAAGGTCAACGACAATAACGCTACCCCGCCCGTTCACCATGGACGAATCAGCGGCAACAAATCGCCCACCACTGAAACGGTAGACCCCGTTCGCTTACTCAGGGTATGGTCAATACGACTCGGGAGCCATGCTCTTCGGGATAAGCGGTCGGGATAAGCGGTCGGGATAAGCGGTCCCCCGTGAAGCCAAAACGTGCACAATGGTTTTTTTACATGCTTTGGTCCCCCCCTCCACATGCTTCGGTCCAGCGCCGTGAGTTGACCCCGATGGTTAGTTGATCCAAGAGTCGTAAGTTGATCCGGAAGCGAGGTGATCATGTCAGTCGCCACTTGCAAGTGGGATGACAATGTCAGTGGGGTGATCATGCAAGTCGAGAGCAAGGTGTTCGGGTAGATCCGAGTACAGAGGTGAGATCCATGTACTGGTGTTCGGGTACAGACCACCCCCTTTGCATACCAAGCGTTTCGGTCACCCCCTCCTTCTTTTGCACGACCGTCTCACTTGCGTGGGTGGCAAAGACAATAGGTAGCGTCGCGATTTTAACTGTCGTGATATACGTCGCCACTCGTCAGTTAGCACTTCATTCTTCCGTGAACCACCGGCCAGTCTTGGGTCATCAACGCGTGCTTACAGCAACCGATTCCAGTGTCCGGGCCGGCGTAGTTCTTCAGCCAGCCGCAGGCCACTGTAGTGTATACTGCTGGCCCTTTCCCCTCGACCAACCCGGGGCCTGTCAGACGCCACAATTCGCTCCCCGGGGGGACCACAGAGACTTGGTCGAAGCTGGTGTCTCGTCCCAGAAATTCGGCGGGCCGCGCGGCTGGCCAAACACAACCACTTCCACCTGTGACATGAGACCCATGGGGTCTGCCGCCTCGGGGTCTGCCATAAGGGGCACACACACAGTGTATGGTATGTACATTACGACATGAAATCGTTTGCACACACGGTCAGTACTAAATCATTAGCTTACCTCCCATAATAATGGGTCGCACTCAGTCGAAATGCGTCTTTTTCCAGAGCCTGGGCTGAGGCAACTCGACCCCAGACAATATCAGATAATAGTCTCTTGTCAAAAACTGTGTGTGCCCGGCACATTGTGTGTATCCGGCACATTGTGTGTATCCGACACATTGTGTGTGCCGGGCAGTCCGGGACACGGTGGTCGTGTGAGTTGATCGACTAGAGCCGTTTGCGCGACTGGAAATCTTTACAGGTGATATCGCACTGGATGAGGGAGTGATTGTCGCCAGCTAAATCACCGCCGGTGAGGTTACCGTCAGTCTCATTGATAGCGCGTTGAAGTAGATGGAACGGGCGTATGGCGAAGTCAGCGAAGTTAATGTGGCTTTGTGTTTTATTGTGTTCGATGACGCACGTGGCGGTAGCGAAGCCGCAGTTACAGGTACGCGTTTTTTTCCCGAAACTTTCGTCTTGGCATTGGTTCGGTTTGCACGATAGCATACACTTAGGATTTGGCGTGAAATTGAGCAAATTATCGTGCTCCTTAAATCTCAGGTCTTCATCATTGTAGAACGCGGAACCCGGTGGAAATTGACGTACCACATTACGGCGGAAAAGATCTAATCGTTCCTTCTCACTGGTACACACATGTTCACAATCGTCCCATTTTGTGAGACGTTTCAAACCATCCATAATCTCATCTGCATTTTGTTTTAAGTACATCCCATAGTCGTAACACTGGATCATCGGTCCTGGGAACCATGTCTCGTTTTTCGGAAGAGAATTGTCCGTACACCTCAAAACCCCCCACTCCTTGCAGGGCATCTTCGAGGTCTGGTTCTTCCACATCTCGGTACACTTCATCTCGTCTGCCACCCGCAGTAAGGCTAACTCCGACGCCTCCACTGGTAGCTTCTTCGTGTTGCTGCCAAAAGTCAGACCTGTTAAATTAATCGACCCGCCCATGCTTTGAATCGCCGTCTTTACGATTTCGCTATTTCTCGTCTCGTTCCCGGCGATTACTCCGATCGTCTCGTTGCCGGTGATTACTCCGGATGTCTCGTTCCTGGTAATTACTCCGGACGTATCACCACGTCTATTCACTATCTCCCAGCCAACATACATTAAGATCACAGTGGCTGTTAACGACAGCCCCGTCGCCCAAGCGCACGCTTTTTCGGAACACCATCTTCTACGGATGACGGGATCTCGACTCACGACCGCGTCCTGCACTGGCTCTTTGGGACAGACCGAGGCTCGAACCACCGGCTGCCAGCTCTCGGGCAGGCTCGGTAACAACTCGGGCAGGTCTTCTTCGGTAGGCGCACGACTCAACACTACAGTCGGCTTGCGAACTTCCAATTCTGCGGCAATCAAGTTAGCTCGGGTCCTACCGAACACCGCCACGCACAATTCATCCATCACTTGCGGGTTCATCTCACGCGCGTGCGTTTCTTCAATATACCTTTCAATGGCGCTCAGAATAACTGACTCCACATACTTCACGGACGGCTTCTTGCTTGACCGGATAATCCTCAGCCCACTGGCATCACGAACCACATCAAAAGGCGCAGCACCTTCAAATCGGGCTTCCCCAGCGTGGGCGGTTCTACCGGACGACGAATATTGAATTGAGACAGGACCGAGTGAAAGTAAGTCAGAGCAAGAGTCTTCTAGGCCATCGTCGGTTAACTGCCCGTCAGGTCGGTCCAATTTCCATAACTCATTGCAAGGGACTAACACTACACCGCATAACGGGTTTTCTCCGGGCACCCCGATTTCGACTATCCGAGCAGTGCAGTCATCTATCACCGACATGGTCCCTTCCGGGGTTAGCAGGGATGCCAGCATCCCTGATTCCACGTGTCGTGCTGTAGCCGCCACTGTCTTCATTACAATCAAGTTCGTCCCGCGGAAACAAAAAAGCAAACGGCCTAGGCGTTTTGCATCAATACCCACCGGCAGTATGTTCGACACCGTGGTCAACAAGCTCGGTCAACAAGCTCGGTCAACAAACTCGACACACACCGGGATACCCTGCCTGGCGCTCAGAAGGATTCCTCAGCACGTGAGCTAACACTGCAGTAGCTCGTAGGTCCCGTCTCCACCTCGGGAGGTGCGTTGGAGGATGTCGTAGAGGAGGACTTGCATGTTGAATGATGCAGGACAGAAGGCGCAGCGGCAGTGGCGGGCAATATGTGTTCACCTCCGGTTCAATGCAAGCACGAGTGCATTAGGGTGGGAGTATGAGATTCTGTAACTCGACCAGGCCGTGTACTCGACCACGGCTTTGTCTTCCGGGATGATCCTCTATTTCTTCCAAATACTCCGCCGGCATCGTAATGCCCACGGTCCTGCCACGAACGATTTGCGAGAGACGTTGCAGTCGTCAACTTACCCGTAAACGGGGACCCACAGTGGGGACCCGCAAGTCGACATTTTTGTCACCAAATCCTCACAGCATACTAAGTCAGAAGAAATACAAGACCCGCCAGCACACCGCACAATGGAAGCCACACAACGCGTCGACCTCCATGTCCGTTGGAAGAGGTCGTAGTGGAGGACTTGGAAGTCGGCGAGGTGTGTTCGCCCGCTTTGGTAGGTAGTGTTGCGGGTCAGATCGGTCGAACGTGAGCCGAGTCGACCAACATCGGGTCTACCCTACCCCCACCATTTGGACCCTTTCGGAACCCGCGTGGTGTTCCAGGCCCGCCATGTCCCGTAGCCGGGCTTTTGGGCGGGCTGCGGCTCGAACCACCGACTGCCAGCCCTTCGGCGAGTGCGGCAAAAGATCGGGCAGCTCTTCTTCGATCAGTGCGCGAGTGGGCAGGACGACGGGTTTGTCGCCAGCGGCGTGTGTCGACACGCGAGCTTAACTCGCGCGAGCAGCAGGCCTGGGAGGATAAGCTATCGAAGTGCCGCCTCCCGCCATTCACCGCCATCACAGAAGAAGAATTTGAGCAGTGGGCGGACGACGTGGCGACGGCGGTCGGCGAGCAGTGCCACTACATCCTCGACGAAACGCTGGTGGCTAGACTGTGGGCCTGGATGCCAGCCACCGTCAGAGCGCGTTTGAATGGGTGTAGGAGAGGCCCCGGGGTGGCGGTAGAGAGCCGGTGCTTCAGGTCCTGCGTCTACCCGGCGCCGGAAGAGGTGCCAACCCTCCACGATTTGCTGCCGACACGGCTGCACCGCCTGACGAGGCTGCAGGTCCGTTACGGCACAAGGACCACGATTCCGGGGATGTTGTTGCGACAGTCCATTCTGAGCGCGGCGGCAGACAACAGGTGGGCGAAAGAGTTCCACTTCGAGTGCAGGAGGGGCGATGGGACAGTGATAGAGGTCCTCCATAAGCTCGCACCGCTGTCGGAGAGAGCGAGACCGGTCTTCGCTGCGATGAAGTGGCCCGCAAGAGAGCAAGAGTCAGATTCGGACACGTCGGGTGACGGGGCGCGCTTCAACAAGTGTGGTAGCTGTGACATGAGGAGCCATGAGAAAGACTGCCCCCACGGCAATGACAGGTGCGCTAAGTGCGGCCGGAAAGGGCACTGGGCAAGGATGTGCCCCAGGCACTACCTCACAGACGAGGACTCAGGACTGAAGGCGTTCGTGGAGGTCGGAGAAGGCAAAGCGGTGCTGAATGTCCGTGGAGCTAGAACCAGGACCGACTACCTGAAGGCGGTGCAAAAGTTCGTAAGCAAGGAACTGAGCGCCGACAAGAAAAAGAAGGGCCAGCCGGCGCCAGGAGAGGACGTCGGCATGCCAGTGGCCGCGGTCGAGAAGGTAGTGACGAATGACGGTCCAGGGGGCGCGAAACGTCGGAATGAGCCGACAGAGGACACGACGCTGGAGCCACGAGTCGCGGGAACCGTGACCGGAGGGTCGGGTAATGGCCGAAGTTTTCTGTAAGGGCCCTCGTGAAGGGGGCCGAGATTGAGTTCCAGCAGGATACGGGCACAGAGGTAAGCCTGCTGAGGAGAGAGGATTGCGGTCGCGCTGGCGTAAGAGTGTCGCAGCGCCGACAGCAAGTAAGCACAGTGCTGGGTTCAGGGTCACTGCCCGTGACGGACCCGGTACCGGTAACCGTGCACGGCGAAACGGACGATGTAGAGTTCGCGGTGCATGACCAACCGTGGGTCCCGAACCTCCTTGGGAGGGTAGAATTGGAGCGGTTTGGTTTGATTGAGAGAAGGTCCGGGAAGGCGTTGGTCCTGGCGGCGCAGAGAGGCGCAGTTGATGAGATACGGCTTGCGGAGAAGTACAAAAAGCAGCCACCAGTGTTAGAGGAGCAGTCGGAGGATCCCTTCGAGAGGCAGCGGCAGGTATTCGTGGAGGGCACGGGACAGCTGGACCAGAGACTGAGGGACGAGCTGTGGAATCTGTTGGTCGCATACAGACGTATGGGAG